ATTCATGGCATATTTTCGCCCGTGTGTCTCAGATTTTTTTTTGTAGCAGTTCTTACACATTTTTCTTCTGCTATGTTTATTTCCCTCTTTCTTCACTTTAATGATGTTGTTTTTTACACACGAAGTCTGAGTGGCACTTTCTATAGTTTTATCGGCTTTTATTAGGTGTTTGACCACATCTTTTTTGAAATCTGTTAAAGAGATCGTATTTCCTGTTACTAGTTTATATAAAATGTACGCATTTACTAAAGATGTGGTAAGAATAAGTTCAAATCCCACTTTTCGCAACCACTTTACACTTTTCCTTAGTGGATTTGAATAGGCCCCAAATTGATCTGATAGATCTACAGCTGCTTTACCTTTGTTGTAGTACACTACAACCTGGGGTTTTAGTTTTGTGTGCTGATTGCATGGCACTTCTATCATCTCGTTTCTATGTTTTGTAGAAAGCATAAGAATGTTTCTCTTATCTTTCCAATTGATAATTGTAATGCCGCAGTCATTTTCCATGGAACAAATTTCGCCACGTTTTAACTTTGCTCTTACAACTTCTTTGGGCAGACCTTTTCGGTTTTTCCGAATAGTTCCAATTACATTTGTATAGGCGTCTAACATTTTTTTGGCCAGAGGCAGACTAGTGTACCAGTTATCAATAATTAGTGTTCGTCCCTCATTTACTAAACCTTGAGTTAGATATAGTACAACTTTTTCAGGAGTGACAGTAGTGTCTTCTTTGCCTGCATATATTTTGATATTATGTGTGTATCCAGACCCAGAACAAAGTTTGAATAGCTTTATCCCATACTTGTGCCGTTTTATTTTGATATACTGACGAAATCCTAGTCTTCCTCTAAATGGTAGGAGAGTTTCGTCTACACAAATAAATTCTTCAGGTTACATTATCAGCGAAATGAATCATGCGTAATTAAATTTCAAATCGATTTCTCGACATTACATTTGAAGCAAAATTATTACTAAATAGCTCGTCTGTACTCCAGTAGTCAGGCAATGATGGCTGTTTTACTAATCCTATCCAAGCTACTAATCCTAAAAATGTCTAATTTCAGACTTTGTGGTGGGATTCCAAGCATGCAAATGGAAGTTTGGTGTAGCGTCCTGAGCTGTAAGAAATTGGGTCGCATAGTTGTTTGTCTCGTCGCAAATAAGTGATATTACTTTATCATCTACTACAGCATCAAAAAATTCACCTGGTGTACTACTCACCAACAATGCTGCTACCTCTGGTTTCACTCCCGATGGAATTGAGAAAGAATCTATTGTCTTATAATTTCCAATTGTGGGTCCCCATAATGGATCTTCATTTGATTGCGAACCTGCTACCGATATTGATGTCAAATTTGGAGACTCTTGCCTATTAGTTGGCATTTTTTGAATCGGCAACACTGGATTTGTTGATGTTGAACCATTTGTTGAAGGTAATACAGATCCGAGATCCTGAATACTTGATTTCACTCGTTTTGTTTGAGTTATAAGTGTCTGCATATTTTCTACTTCTGAATTGGATAAAGTTTCTGACTCTGATTCAGACTCATACTGGAATGATTCATTAATATCTGAGCTCTCAAACGGTTCCCAACCGTCTTCATCATCTGACATTTCTCCAAAATTGTCTGCATATTTTTGTAACTGTTGAGTTGTCAGTTTACGTTTACGAGGAAACATTCTGAAAAAATATCACATAAGTATAAAATAATAACTTAAAAATAATATTTGGCACTTACATTATATTATAATTTTGAAGATAAACTCATAAAATAAACACTTTTAACTTGATATAACAATATATAGTCACAGTTGACATAGACCGATAAAAAAATTTTAGGTCACCTATGCAGTGCCATGTGCTTCTTACTTTGTGGGACCAACGCAACGGCGCGCAAAGGCATCGAAGTGCCTCAACCGGCCACGTTGGTCCGATGGGATCAACTCGGAATAAACTTTTTCATAATAAACGACTAGATTGACCAGAATTTATTTAAAAAAAATAAATATGATTAAATTCCAAAATATCCGATATTTTTGTCCATAAGTGTATAGGTATATGTATATCTGTAATTTGTAATAATAGCATAAACTTTTGTTTCTTATATGCCACTATTAAATTTTTCCTAGAATTTTCGTGACACACGTACACGTGTTTTTCTCTTCTAACATCACTAATGGACTCTGTTGCTCTTCATTTAGTGATTACAAAAAAAATCTTACGATTTCAGCCGTTAAAAACTAATGTAAAAATCTAGCACTGTAACTTTATGAGCAAAACCATTCACTTGCGCTTTGGTATAAAACATTTACGACTTCTACAATTGTAACAAAAATACTTTATGACTTTTAAGATTGATTTATTAGTCGGTGACCTTAGCCGCAACAAATCATTTTATTTATGGTACTTTTTTGGCTTAACCGGGAATGATTTCGGTGATAGCTACGTAGAAATAAATATAAATCTTCTTTTAAAGGTAAAACCGATGAACAGATAATTATTTTGTGTACCAATAAGTAAACTTAGACATTATTTTTCAAAAAAAATCTGTTTTTAACAAAAAGAGAAATCAAACGATTTCTACCTGGCGAAATCGAATTCAAACCTTGACCATCGTGCTTTCTAAAACCTGCAAAGCAAACAGCTTGATAAATAACTCGACAAGGAAATCTAAGATTGCATTCCACATGTCATGTATCATGGTCAAAATTCGTAGTGAATTCAATTTAGTATTAAAACAAAAATCTAGTACCGTGTTTATATTTTATTTCTTTACTCCATTCTTCTTTTTTTTCTTCAGCTTTTCCCATTATGATTTCGCCGTTTTCGTCCTCCAGAGCACTCTATTCTCCCAGTCACCTTCTCTGAGGTCTCTATCTATCATAGCATTTCCGACGTATGTTTTCCATCTTGTAGCAGGTCTTCCTCTCCGTCTTCTTCCCGGCGGGTCCCAGTTTAATATTCTTTTCGGCCACCTACACCTATTCTTTGTACATGCCCGTACCACTGCAGGGCTCTGTTGTCCAACTTTTTTGTAATTGAGCATTCTACTTCCATTCTGTTCCATAATTCCTCCGTTCTTATTCTATCCGCTCTTGTGATTTGTAGACATCTTCTCATAAAGTCCAGTTCAACTGTTCTTATTTTATTTCGTATTGTTGTTGTCATTGGCCATACTTCCGCTCCATATAGGGTAATATTCATCACTACGCTTTGAAAGATCCTCTTTTTGTTTTCTTTGGTTAGAGTATTCTTCCATATCACTCCATGAAGTGCTCTTGTGGCTTGTTTTTCCCGTGCTATTTTCATTTCTCTATCTTTCATACAAGTACCATCTCGGCTAAAAATTGACCCTAAATACTTCAAAGTCTTACAACTCTTAATACTTACTATCTTCTTCTAAACTTAAATTAAAATCTGCAACCTCGGTTCCCATAAGTATTCGGTCTTGCACATATTTATCTTGGGTCCCCAAAGTTAATATTCTTTCTTTAATTTCCTTATCATATATTCCATATCCGTTTAGAGTACCAGAAATTAAAAAAAAAAAATTTGTTTAAAATCCTTTATAAAAGGTATATAAAAATGCCCCAAACGGGCTATCACAAACACATTGCAAAACGTTTTCGGATTAAACAATCCATAATCAGTGCAAACGGTTGTACATGCTAGTAGCCACCAAAATATATGGGTAAAAACCCTTTAAATGTGTTAAATTTGAAGTTGTTTTACATTATTAGTATTTATAATTTGTGATGTTTAAGTTACCGTTGGATAGGTAACATGGCGGCGTATGACTCTACATGAGTAAAATGGTCCTGAGACGAAGTGTCTACGAGGACCTGTTGATAACAACTCTTGTTACCTATCCAACGGTAACTTAAACATCACAAATTATAAATACTAATAATGTAAAAAAACTTCAAATTGAACACATTTAAAGGGTTTTTACCCATATATTTTGGTGGCTACTAGCATGTACAACCGTTTGCACTGATGATGGATTGTTTAATCCGAAAACGTTTTGCAATGTGTTTGTGATAGCCCGTTTGGGGCATTTTTATATAACTTTTATAAAGGATTTTAAACAAAATTTTTTGTGATATATGGTATACAGCCAGCTACAGGAACTTAGTTTCCTCGTGGAATTTTACCAGAAATTGAATTCACTACGAATTTTGACTATGATAAACGACATTTGGAATTCAATCTTACATTTCCTTGTCGAGTTATTTATCAAGCTGTTTGCTTTGCAAGTTTTAGAAAGCACGGTGGTCAAGGTTTGAATTCGATTTCGCCAGGTAGAAATCGTTTGATTTCTTTTTTTTTCTTAGGTGGCTTAGTTACGGCTGCATATAGTTATTTTATAACTATTGTTTAAGACGGGAAGAGATTTTGTTTTGATCCAGAGAGGTGACAATATCGCTCTGACGAGATCTAAAGAGGTCGAAATACGTATAAGCGGTTGCCGCCACTCTGTATTAAAACAAAAATATAGTACCGTCTTTATAAATCTGTTTTTGAATTGAAAAACATTAAATGGAAAAAGTTCTCTAGTTTCCATCCCATCTCTAAATCCAAACTGCCTGCCATATTGATCTTCTCCACAATTATTCCTTATTATATTGCTTTATCACCATCCTTGTTTAATGTTTATTCCGAAAATATATTCAGAAACGAACTTGACACAATTGTATTAAATCATTATGAGAATTAAAAATAATCCAAATAATGAATTGGTATGTGTAAAACCATATATTAATGTCTACGTTTTAATTTTAGTGTTAGCTTCAAGTACCAAAAGAAATCACTGAGGATGATTTGAACTAGATCTAATACGTTACGTTATGCACCTGTAAATTTTGGACGACACTTTTAACAAGTTTTAAATTAAATGTTTTTATACCAAGATACAAATTTGAAGTATTTTACTTCTGTATAAGTTTTTTAAATGTTTTTATGTAACCTAAGAATTTATTTTTATTCTTAATTACAGAAACTGGAACTAACAGTGGTCATTTTAGACCCAAACAAGCAGAAAGCTGGGATCTTCATCCGGTATATGAAATTAAAGCATTCGGCAGAACTCTCTTCCTGGAACTGTATCACTACAACAAGTTTATGTCTCCAAATTTACATGTAAGTGTTTTTCTTGGTAGTAAATAACAGTTTTTACTCTATTCACGAAAGAAATAAGTCAAAACTTGCTAAGTTTCACAACTATTGTAATATTAAGGTACAAGTTAGGTTTAATGAAGTTGCAGTGAAGTACAATTTAATTTTTTATTTAGTTGACAAAATATCTACAGTGGAGTGAGTAGAGATAACAGAGCTAAGAAAGGAGTCGCTATTGCTATTCGAAAAAATCTTAAAAACAATATTAAATCTTGGACCGAAGTAAAGAAACAACTGCTAATACTGGAAATAAAAAAAAATAGGCACAACATCGTAATTGTCGGAGTGTATGCTCCAAATGAAGATGCAGATCCAGAAAGAAAAGACAATTTCTACAAGATGAATAAAATACTCTCTGAAATTAAAGAAAATTGTGAAATCTTTATACTAGGAGACATAAACGGCAGAGTAGGGAGAGAAGAAAATAACAGAGTCGTAAGAGGAAGATATGGAGAACAAATAACCAATAACAACGGAATGCGTCTTAGAGACTTTTCTGAAACAATGTCTCTCAAAATTATGAATGGATTTTTTCAACATAGAGACATCCACAAATTTACATGGATACAACCTACTAGGAATCTGCGCTCAATAATCGACGTCAAACTTCCCAGTTAAAAACAACTGATGTAAGGGTATACCGTGTAAAACATTAACACTCCTGTACAGAATATAGAAGAAGGACAAGAAATAACATCCCCTAAATATAACCTAGAAAGCTTAAAAGAAGATTCAACGAAATTTCTTTACAAATTACGACTGACCACAAAACTACAAAATGTGGATCGAGAAAATGAATCAGCGGAAGAATTATGCCAGCAACTAAAAAAATGCATTCATGTGGCTGCAAGTAAAGCTTTGGTTTCTAAAGACAAACATGAAACAAAAAATCAACAATGGTGGTCGGAGAATATGCAAACGTTAGTCAACAAGAAGCAAACTGCGTATCAGAAATGGATGTCAACGAGAAAAATGGAAGATTACAAGATATATCAAAAATTAAATCGAGATGTAAAAATAGAAGTAGTGAAAAGTAAAAATGGGATGTGGGATCGAAGATGTGCAAAGGTTGATAGGTATATAGGCGGAACAAAAGTAGGGCAAGTTTGGAAGGTGATAAAGTCTCTCCAGAGAGAAGAAAAGGAAAAATCTCACAATTAATAGATCTGACAGAGTGGAAACACCATTATGAGGTCTTACTGACAAAGGATAGATGTATATTCCAAGAGATCGAAATGGAAGAAATATCCGAACACACACACAAATAATTGAGATAACAACCGGAGAGTTAAACGATGCCCTCAAAAGATCGAAAAATGGTAAAGCAGCAGGAACTGGAGACATTCCAATTGAGTTGGTAAAGTATGGTATAAAGTATATTTAACAAATGCTAAAAAGGACAAAATATCTCTGACGATTGGAATATTGGATACATCAGATCAATATTTAAGAAAGGGGATAAACGCACATGCTCTAATTATAGGGAAATAACTGTTATGAGCTTAGTGGGGAGGTTGTACGGTCAAATAATACAAGAAAGAATAGAATTAGAATACGAAGACATAGAAGAACAAACTGGGTTTCGTGTAGGAAGATCGTGCACTGATGGTATATTCGTTCTGCAGCAGGTTATCGACAAACGGAAGGCAAGGAATCTATCAACCCACCTATTGTTTGTAGATTTAGAGAAGGCATACGATACGGGAGATTTCAACGCTAAAATAGGAAAGAACGAAAATAACAATGACAACGAATATATTGGAAATTTTGGACTGGGAAGTAGAAATCACAGGGGAGATATGCTCGTAAATTTCCTCAGCAAAGAAAAACTATTCTGCTTAAATACCTTCTCCAAGAAAAAGATGAAAAGAAAATGGACGAGGTTAAGCCCAGATGGCAAAGTAAAAAATGAAATTGACTTTATACTCTCTAACTTCAAAAACATTGCTAAAGATCTTACTGTACTAAATTCTTTCAACACTGGTAGTGATCATCGATTAGTTCGGACGCGAATAGAAATAAATACGAAATTAGATAGAAGAAAATTATTAACACAGGATAAATTGCCAAACATAGAACCACTCGAAATGAATCAAGAGGAATATCAAAGTGAACTAAAAAAGAAACTAGGACCTCTACCAGTATTCAACACGAAAGATATAAATGAAATAACACAAAAATTAACGAATGACATAACATCAACTGCAAAAAAGATCTGTGATAAAAATAAAAATCCCAGAAAAACTAAACTGAAACAAACAACACTTAATTTAATGGAAGAAAGAAGAAGAACATCGGAAGAATTACCAGAGTATAAAGCTATCAACAATAAAGTTAAAAAGAGCATAAGGTCAGACTTGCGGGCTTATAAAACAAAACAAATATTGTAAACCATCGAAAACAATAGAAACATGAGAGTATTGAAATCAAATTTAACTAAAGGAAAATCAAAGATAACTAAAATCAAAAATCAACAGGGGAATACGGTGACCGAAAAAACTCAAATAATCAAGGAAATACAAACGTTCTATAAGAATCTTTATACATCTACTATACATAACCCCGAAACAGACCACAGAACAATTCTAAACGTCGGCTCGGAAACCCTCCCTAAAATAACCTCTTCGGAAATTAAACATGCCTTACAGCAAATGAAAAACAAAAAAGCTCCTGGCGAGGATCGTATAACGTCTGAAATGTTAAAAATTGGCGGCAACATCGTTGTAGAAGTTGTGGAAGTCTTACTGAATAAGTGTCTAACAGAAAAAAGAATATCCAGCCTATGGGAAAACGCCTAAATAATACTTTTACACAAGAAAGGAGACACTACTAATATTGAAAACTACAGACCTATAAGTTTGTTGTCACACTTATACAAATTGTTAACAAGAATAATAACCAACCGCATAACACAAAAACTTGATTTATATCAACCGGTTGAACAGGCGGGATTTAGAAAAGGGTTTGGTACTAATGATCACTTGCAAACGATCAGAACACTAGTAGAAAAAACCACAGAATATAATGTACCTTAACATATGGCATTTATCAACTTTCACAAAGCTTTCGATAGTATTGAGACTTGGTCCTTTTTGTCAGCCCTGAAGGATGCTCGAATAGACTCACGGTACACTACACTCATTAAAAACATTTATGAACAGGCCACATTCCACATCAAAATCAATGAAGACGAAAAAACTGAAAAAATGCGCCTTAATAAAGGTATTAGACAAGGTGATACTATTTCACCAAAGCTTTTTACCTTAGCATTGGAAAATGTATTCAAACAGCTTGACTGGGAGGAAAAAGGTCTAAACATTGATGGTGTACGTTTGAGTCATTTGAGGTTTGCGGATGACATAGTATTATTTAGTACAGATATCAAGCAACTGGAGCAAATGTTGAAGGTTTTAAACCAGCAGTCAAATAAAATAGGTCTCAAAGTGAACCTTCAGAAAACAAAAATAATGAGTAATTTACAAACTAATCTTGTTATTGACAACGTCAGTCTTGAAAATGTAGACCACTATATATATATATATATATATATATATATATATATATCTTGGACATACCATTAAAATCGGCAAAGAAAATCAAATAGCCGAAATAAAAAGACGCATACAACTGTCTTGGGGAGCTTTCGGCAAATTAAGCTTTATTTTGAAGAATAAAGATATACCAATGTGTCTAAATGAAGAATAAAGATATACCAATGTGTCTAAAACGTAGAGTTTATGACAAATGTATCTTGCCTGTAACTACATATGGACTGGAGACCATGGCCTTCACAAACAAAACCTTAGAGCAGCTCAGTACAAACCAAAGAGCAATGGAGAGGGCTATGCTAGGGATTAGTTTGAGAGACAGGATTCGAAATAACGTCATTCGTGAAAGAACAAAAATTACTGATGTCTCAGAACGTATTGCAAGGCTCAAGTGGCAATGGGTCGGACACGTTGCCCGAGATAATCCCGAAAAATGGACACAAAGATTAACAAACTGGACACCAAGAGAGAACAGGCGAGGAGTAGGCAGACCGCAGAAGAGGTGGACAGACGATATCAAACAAGTCGCGGGCAAGCAGTGGATGAGAATTGCCAAAAGTAGAAATCGATGGAAGCAAATGGAAGAGGCCTATGTCCAGCAGTGGACAAACACAGGCTGAAGAAGAAGAAGAAGATACGATACAGTACCTTTGAAAAAACTGTTTCAAACATTGATGAAAGTAGGTCTCAGTAGAGAGCGTGTAAATGCTATCGCAAATATATACAAAAATGAAAGAAGTGTCGTTAAAGAAGAAAACTTTATATCTGAATCATTTCCAATAACAAATAGGCTTAAACAAACTGGATATAGGATATTGTCTATCTCCGACCTTATTTAAAATATATATTCAATCATCGCTAGAGCAGTGGAGGAAACAAGTATCCGGAATGGGAATAGACATAGGCGGTGGTAAATGTCTAACAACTTTATTTTTCGCAGATGATCAGGTAGTCGTAGCGAATGATGAGGAAGATATGGACTTTAGAAAACTAAAGAAAAAATATGAAAAATGGGGCCTCAATATGAATATGTCAAAGACAGAGTATCTTAAAATAGGAGATGACGAAGAAGATTCATAGTTAGAAATTAGAATCACAAAAACATGCAATGAATATAAATATCTCGGATCTATAATATCTAGAGAAGGCACTCCCAAAAGAGACATCGAAAACAGAACGCAACAGGGAAAAAAAAGCGGTTAACATTCTAAACTCTCTACAATGGTCTACAGATATAAAACAAGAAATAAAATTGACAATCTATCGAACCTTGGTAGAGCCTATTATGACTTATGGGGCAGAAATTTGACAGATCACGAAAAAGGATAGAAAAAAAATAGAAGTTGTAGAAATGGATTTTCTAAGGAGAGCGTGTGGTGTATCCAAAAAAGATCATATCAGAAATGAAGATATTAG